CATTTTAAAACGGAACAACTTATCATTGGTGTATACGTTATCGTTCAGTATTTTATATTGGAACTCTGATGTTTGTTTCTACTGTGACGGTAAACGGTAAATAATAGATTTTTTTCCAATCAACCACAAGATGGGGATATTTGTTTTTCATCTTTTTTTTTGGCACAGGGAGGAGTTTGCTGTCGTGAAAATTTTCTACTGTTTTGTTTTTAATTCTTTTCTGTTGGATCGCACATCCGGGACAGTGTACATTTGACCATTTGATTGACATTTATCACGTGATTTTGTATATGTATGATTCATTTTTTTCGATAGACATTTCAGAGTAAGAATGAATTCGAAGGCAAACTATATTTGCGATGTTTTATTCACGATATTTTCTTTTTAGTTTTAAATTTGTTACACAGTAACTTTGATGTTACTTTGGACAAATCGATTTCAGTTTCATCCAATTCAATATATATTTTATCTCCAAGGAATGATGGATAGAAATGCTGAATTGTTTGTGACTTTTTTATAATAAGTCTCCACGCAATGGGTATAGCATCCACAACGCTTATTAGCTTAAAATATTGAGTTGGGGATAAATTTGCTGCCAATACCTTCGAACTAACGATTGTTATCGGAAATTATTTTTGTCCTTTTAACAAGTTACACTGACAAAATGATTGACAAAAATTGCCTGTAATGGGTTTTTTTTTAGTCGTTTTATTTTCATAGCCTGGGTATCAAGAGATGGTCACATGATAGACATTCATAAGGAAATAGTTTATTGTACTAAAGTTTGTATTAGGTGTTGTTTGTCTTAGCTGTTGACAGTTGACATGTTTCGGGTGTAATTTCCGGAGTACATGTAGGCATCTATGCAGCCATATCTTCAATAGGGGCATTTAGCACCAGGGATTTCATGTTAACGTCAAACGGTCCGCATACGGCAGTTTTTAATAACTGAGGCGTTGGACGTTTGTGATCTCTATGGGCCTGGCTACGAAAACGTGAAAGAATTATTTCATTTTAAGAGGCCGCCATATTGAATTTCGAGACAACAGTAGTGTTTGATTTTCAAATGGCAACAAAAAGTCTTATTTTCACTCAGTGGCTAAAGATTAAATCTAAACTTGTTTTTAAAAGACTGGTTTACATAACTTCAGTTCTTATTCTTGGTTTTCATGTGACGTAGTCATATTCCAAAATTAGAAATTATCCTTCCTTCTGAGGTTT